TACCTCTGGTGCAAATTACTGACCTCTGTCATCATTTTAAGTGGGGGAACTTGCACAATCGGTGGCTGACTAAATACTTTTTTGCCCCACTGTATATTGATAATTATACTGTGATATACTGATAATAAAGTTGCTTAAAAAGTTTATTTTGGATAAAATAGGAGAGCAACCTCTGTGATAGATTCTCAGCATATTCCAGTCAATCTGGGTCAGTCTCTTTGCAATGGAGAACTCAACTCAGCTGACTGTCAACTGGTTGTATCCTAGTTATTTTCCTAAATCGTCCATTCTGCATGTTTTTATTGAAGAACATTTATTAAAGGAGCTTTAACTACAAAGTACTTTACAGTGTCGTATTGCTTACTTTTCCAGTGCAGATCAGGTCAAGAAAGGTAACTCTCTCTAATCCTGTCAGACCATAGATGTTAATAAGATTGGCTGCAGTCTACTGCTGGAGATGAGCTGCTGTACTAATAGTCCTCCATGACTGTTAAGCCTAATGTTTTTAATCGAATTATTCTTCTTAACACATTAGTTAGATGCGTACAGGCTATTGAACGCTAATACCAAAAAAGCTATTTTCAAAATCTCAGTTTGTAGTCCACATCTTAAAAATGGGCAATACCCTGCCCAGTCTGTTCATTCTATATTCATTCATGTCACAAACTTACAGATATGCTAATGCCCAGATTTCCTGATATCTTCCTGAGCTCCATGCTGATCTCTTCCGGCTTCACGCAGTTCATAGATGATGACAGAGAACAGCTATCCTGAACATAACACAGACATTAACAACACAAAGTTCAAGCTTCATCCTTACCTCACCTGAAGTATGCTTAAAGAAGGTTGTTAAACAGATATTTAGCAATTAACTGTGCAGAATTATCACAGTTTAAATCCCTAAACTGCTTGGATGTTACCTGTGTACTGAGAACTCGAACTTCAGGGGGGAAGTGTAGTTTCTTGCTGGTCTTTGGCGTCATCATGACTGACACAATCTCATCGAGGCTATCATCTCTCGATCGTCCATCTGTCATTAGTGTTGTCTGGGATATATATTTTCTCAACCCAGGAGAAGGACAATTATTACTGCTGGGACTGATGGGAACTGTGGATAATGGCAGAGACACTGTAAGAAAGAGAAACAGTATTCAAAGAATCGTAAATGAAAATGTACAGGATAATTTTGCAACAGCAAAGATGGTGGTAGTGCAAAAACATTTTAAACCCTACTTTAAGTGAAAAAAGTAGGGTTCTGTAGACAATTACCAAGATCCCTACTGTAATCATCACCGAGACTAATCCGCTGATAGCAGTGATCACAGAGATGCTTTGCTACAAGATGAACAGCCACAAGGAGCAGTACCCTCCATGGAGAAACAGACTAGAGGCCACAATCACAAGGTAGCATGGAGGGAAGTTAGCCAACTATTGGACTTGCAGAAAGGTGCAAAGAAGAAAAAAGGGGTGCCTAAGAAGTACAGCAAGCTTCCCATAGCTGAGGCCTTGGAAACTACCAAGCAAAGACTCACAGCCTTGGCCAACTGCTGACGAGATATACCAGGGAGATGGAAGACAGGAGAATAAACCAGCTGTAATCCACCATACCATCCAAGGTATACTCTCAGTGACAGGAGAACAATGTGAAAACAGCCCCACCAAGACTGGAGATGGAGTAATACTGGAAGAGCATATGGGAGAAGGACGCAACCCATAACAACAATGCTCAGTGGCTATTGGACCAAAGAGCAGACCATGTCAACCTTCCTGAACAGGGTCCAGTGACCATCACAGTGGCATATATCCAAGAAAGGGTCCCAGTGTGAAGAATTACAGCACTAGGCCCTGATATAATTCACGCCTACTGGCTGAAAAAGGCTGACTGTACTCTGTGAGTATCTGGCAGCACAAATGAACCAGCTGCTTGTAGATGAGAGACACCCAGAATGGCTAACTTGAGGCCGGACAGTCCTGATCTCCAAGGACCTCCAGAAGACAACGGACCCATCCAACTAGCAGCCAATAACCGGCCTCATTACCACATAGAAGCTCCTGTCAGGCATCTTAGCAGCTACGATGAACAGGCACATGGTTCAGTAAAGGAGCGGGACACAGAAAGGAATTGGCAGGAATACCAGAGGGGCAAAACATCAGCTACTGGTAGACCGAGCAGTCGCTCAAGACTGTAAGACCACCGCCTGGATTGACTACAAGAAAGCCTATGAGTCAATACCCCACACATGGATGCTGGAATGCCTAACTATACAAGATCAACAGGACCATGAGAGCCTTCATCAGGAACTACAGTAAATGGCAGCACTAATAATGGCAGCACAGTAGGGTTGGTCGATATAACGATATATATCGGATGACGATATAAAAACGTCTATCATTTCATTTTACGCTATCGTTTGTTTCGTGGTGTCGCAAAATAAACTGTTTACGGCAATATTTTTTCATGGTTTTGATGGTCACTGTAGTGGCTATATTAATTTCTTAAGTTCTTTCTTTCTCTTATATTTAATATAACCACACTACGGACGGACAAGCGCCTGTTTTTACGCATTGTCGTTAGCAACAACGACGGTAAAACCATCGCGTGTCCGCTGGTTTAGTTTCCACATAAAACTTTCACAATAAAGCTTAAGATCCTGTTGAGACTTTTCAAAATAAACTGAATCACATGAAAGAGTATGCAGAGTGTTTACGGATGAGAAGCCAAAAAGAGCCGCCAGGTGCTAAAAAATAAACCTTAGACTCAAACGTTAGAACAGGCTTTTCCCTGCAGCACGCTGTGTAATAAATACTCACAAAGAAAACGGCGGCCGTTACACCTTATGTCTAAAAATGTATAGTTTCATGCATCGGTCAAAACACTCGACTCTAGGTACACGACGCCCAGCTGGAAACGCTTCACGCAAGTCGAGCTGCCCGAGATTCACAGAATTTACAGAAAATGTTACATTTTTGTGATTTATATCGTTATTGGGACGATAGATGTCTTATATCGGGATATGAGATTTTGGTCATATCGCACAGCCCTACAGCACAGGAACAAAATCTCAGCACAAGATCCATAGAGGCTGGGATCTACCAGACTAGGCAAAACCCCAGGTGTGGGCTGTGTAATGCCCCACATGCCCCAAAGACAATCCAGCACATATCAGCAGGGTGCAAGATGCTAGCAGGCAGGGCATACATGGAGCGCCATACCAAGTGACTGGCATAGTACACATAACATGTGTGCCATGTGTGACCTGGAAGTCCCGGGGTCAAAATGGGTAGTCAAGAATGACCGAGCCAAGCTCCTGTGAGACTTCCAGGTACAAACAGACAAACTGGTGATGGCTAACGAACCGGCCATGCTAGTGGTGGTCAAGCAGAGGAAGATGGCTGTAGTGGTAAATGTAGCTATACTGAGCGATAGCAAAATCAGGAAGAAGGAACACGAGAAGCTGGAGAAATACCAAGGCTGAGAGAAGAGCTCGAGAAGAAGTCGGGAGTGAAGGCAACAGTGGTTCCAATGGTATTAGGAGCCCCCTGTATTAACTGCTTCTGTAGTCTCTTTTTGATAGCTAGGTCTATACAAGCTAGCACATGAACTGAAACCTGACTAGTAACAAAAGAAGTCTGTTGGGTACTTGCTAGTCTTGCAATCTGTCATCAAATCTGCTTGAAACTCTTGGACAGAGGAAGAGTGGGCAGTTTCCCATTATAAATACTTATTTTTTAAACAAAGTTAAACAGAATCTGCTTGAAAAAATATTACTGGTTTTAAATAAGAACATGTAATAAAATTATTCATTTACATTGATCTGAGTCTTAAAATCTTAAAGTATACAAGCCATTTACGTAATCCTGTTTTATGTTTCTTTTTTTAGGACTTTAAATGTAAGGCAAAGCAGAAAGAATGAAATGCTAACACATATTAACACTCTCAGCCTTAAGTCAAAATGGAGACTGCGGTTTTAAGCTTTTTATAGTGACAATGGAGGCTGGAAGGTGGAATCAACAAAAAACTGAAATGTTGCTAGCAGGCTAAAAGGTAGAAAAAATATAAAAAGCAGCTGAATCCTCAATATTACACATAAAAGTGGTCAAAGGTCACAAGTACTCAAGTATTATTACACACATACAGTAACCACACACACACATACACACATGCACACAAAGCACCTTTCGGCTGTGAGATAATAAGCTGCACCTCCTCTGGGCTGTTTTGCATGACCTCTGCTGCCTCGCTGAAGGTAACACCTTCCAGGCTGATGTGGTTCAGAGAGATCAGACGGCCACCTGTAGGCAAAGGTCATGGTGAAATTAAATGGTGCTAGTGTCCAGTGACAGTACATGTACAGACTACATGTGACCTCAAACACCCCATAGACACCTCAAGTGCCATCTTTGTCCTCCTTTCTTCTTACATGCTACATATTCTCTGCATCATTTTTCTTAGAATAAAAGACGATGCTGGATGAAACAGTCAGCATAATATATTGGAATCCGTTTTTCTTCTTTCTAAGTGTTTTATGTGGTGTTACTTAACTTTAAGTAAAATATCCACATGAGTCCATACCAGCTCTGATGCGTCCATCTTTATCAGCAGGTCCACCAGGCACAATAGAGGCTACAAAGATGCCCAAATCATAACGCCCTACTGTGTCCTCGCCAACTATTACTATACCTGTAAAAACATAAACCAGATGAACAGAGAGTTTGTTGGGTTGAACATATTCCAGAGGAACCATCACACATATTTATACAGAATAGTACTAATATGCAGCAGAAATGGCACAGTGATTGTATCGAACATGTATTAGTTATGTCCAGCTGGTTCTGAAAACAGCATTTTATATATACAAAGTGAGTTTAGCTTACCTAGGCCAAGCTTTGGGTCTTTCTTTAAGGAAACACATATAACTTCTCTCTCAGATGGTGTCCCCAGTTTAGTTGGAGTTTCTACAAAAAAATGTAGTTTAACAGTGGAGTTAACGTGTGGGAAATGCAGCTGTGTTTCAATGACTTGATGATGGAGCATTGAATCACAAGGCAACCAACCAGAATTAAACATTTTTAAGATGCTGCTCTATCATAAGAGTACTTGGTGTAAACCACCTGTCATGTGTCGGTTCAATTCAATTCAATTCAATTCAATTTTATTTATATAGCGCCAAATCACAACATAAGTCACCTCAAGGCAGGTTAAAGGCGCTGAAAGTGTGTTTGGTTATATAGTGTACCTTGGGCTGCTGGCGAACCACAAGGGGCTTCAGATCCACTCCTCTGAGAGCACGATGGTGAGAGCATAGCACTGCTGCTGCGCTGACTGCTAGAGCAAGCATTAAATAAGAAACACAAAGCACAAAGAAATTACCCGTGGTAACTTCATGAAAGCTTTAATATCTTTCCTCTTCTATTCACCTGTCTAGTACACTTTTATAAAAATAATAATCTAGATAAGGATGACATAATTGCAGGAGAATCACTGACATTCTCACGAAAGTATGGGCCATAAAAGCCAATTGCTCCTCTGTCGTTGCTACAGTTATGAGATAAAAAGCTGATGACCCAAAACATTACGACCACCACTAGTTGGTAGTCACATTGCACTACCAGCACAGCTCTCACAAACCAAAGCATGGGTTTCTGAAGCAGTTCTGTAGCATTAGGCATCAACACGACAGCAGCAGATCCTTTAAGTCCTGTAAGGCGTGACTTGGATCAGCATTCTTCCAGCACATCCCCCAGCATGCTCTCTCCAGTTGGAGGTTTGTCCCTGCCTTAGGTATCGCTGCCTGTAAGTACTCACCACAAGCCTTGCTGTTTCAGAGATGATCCAACCCAGGTGGCTGGCAGCAACCAGTTGGTTCTTGTCAAAGTTACTCAGCTCTTAACACCTGCCCATTTCTGCTGCATCCAACACATTTCCTACAAGAACCAACTGTTCACTTATCATCTAATATAGCTGTATATATTAGATGCTGCAACATGATCAGTGTTCGTTAAGTGGTCATAATGATTTGGTTCATCTGTAAATTGAATGTTCAGTGCGGGAAACAGCGTTATGCTTGTAAAAACCGCTGGAAAACAAAGTACCTTTGCTCGTTGAGGCGCTGCTGTTTTATGCGGGCCTCGATCTTGGCTGTGACATCATCATACAGCTTGGTCATGGACTCATTCTGAGGCGTGGTCAGACCGCTTTCATCCTGAGGGGTCTCAGAACATGAGAAAGACTTAAGCTGGCTGCTCTGAGCACGGCACACTGCTGCGTACTGCACAATGTTGTCCTCTGGAGAACAAAGAGGCAGAAGTCATCTTTAGTATTTGGACAGCAGAGTAGACTTTATGGTTGTGTTTTTGTTAGTTTCTTGGTGTATTTCTTCACTGAGACAGAGTATCACTGAAATAACTAACCTGACACCAGGCTGTGGCTTAGCTGACGGGAGTTCATCTCATTGTTAAACTTGTGCTGTGCTGAACAAAGGTTACAAAGGTATTTGGCTATCTTCGACCTCTCCGTGATGAACGTGTGCTTCTTCTTGCTGCCCCGGCACTCTACTACAAATTTATGCTTCTGCGGAAAAATGAAGGAAAATTTTCTAGACCATGAAAGGAAACCGTGTGTCACTCCCATAGACTGTATAAAACATGGAGGAAGCTTCCAAGTCTCATTCCTAACCAGCAGAAGGCAACTACTCTGGCTGCAAAGAGATGTCTGGTTGTGTGGAAGTCTATGGGCAAATGGCCCTAAGCTCCTTTGATTCATGCTCTCAGTAAATATTTTCCCGCTAGGTTTACGGTCTTAATAACTAGTTTGAAGTATTATGAAAGTACTTTTTGAATTCCATTACTATCCAGAAGGATAACTCAACAGGTTGAGCTTAAGGTCCGGCCAACTTTGTGATGGACAAGCAGCTACCATGAAAGAGTATGGTTTCAAAGACCTAATACGGTGATAGCCAGAACTTATTGAGACTTAAGAATAGCTTAGCAAACAACAGCTCCATCCTTTACACAGAGTTTATGGTCACTACCAACCAATGGCGAAACCATTACTTCACTCACATAAGACGAGATGGTTGCTGTGTCCCTCCAGTAGAAAGTCTGAGCAGTGGATCTGCTGCCATCTTTCACCTCATAGACAATAACACCTTTGGCACAAACCCCAAGAATAATCTCTCCGTCTGAAGGCTTTTTCTCTCGTGTCACACGGTGGAACGAAACGCCATACTCAGGCAATTGTTGACACACCTAAGAAAACACAAAGCGGTAACCACCATTTCTGTGAGACTAACAGTGGTCACAGCTATGAAGATATAGTAAAACACACTGGATCATTATTTAAATATTGTCACAATAAAGACAGGTTTGATACCTTGAGAAATTCAAGTTCTGATTCGTCGGTGAGCATTTGAGTATTGTTGGTGTGAAGTCGCAACAGCTCCCCCTGAATGTAAGGCAAGGCACATTTCTCCAACACGCTCTTGGAGACATACTGATCAGGGCGGTAGTAGCCCCTACCATATACCTGCAAACAACACCAGATAACGGACTTATGTTAATGCTATTCAAATAATTTCTGAACAGAATTAAAGGATAATGACATCATCAGGATCAAAATCTAAACAATAATAATCAAAATATTCACCCCAAACTAAGCGTATGATGGATAAGCAGGATCTATAGAAGCACTTTACCTGGATTCCAGCTTGATCCAATCTATATATGAGTTACTAACTAACTATAGTGATGGCATATAACTATATTCTAACTATAGGTTAGCTTCAGGTACAGAACCTCAGGCATGGAGTCTCCATACTCCGTCTGCAGGGCCAGACCTCCTAGGTACAGAGCAGTCTCCTCATGACAGGACAGCCTGTCCTCCAAAAGATCTCTCCTAAGCTGGAGGTAATACTGGTGTCGGGTCTGTTTGTGCCTGATGGAGAAGATCACACACACTCAAAAGTTTCTCCCTCAAACTAGGGCTTTTGGCAATAATCGAACAGGGGGAAAAGCAACATACAAAAGAAGAGAAATGTCGTTGATGAAGAATTTGACCCTGAAGAAAAGGACAAAGGTGGCAGTAGGCACTTTTTTCCAGCTATCTGGAGCAACTTTAGAAATCTTGGTGTCGTTGTCCACAAAGAAAAACTCATTATCTGACCAGAGAAGAGAGAAAAGAAAGTAACTTTAGTGACTTGATAACGTATCAGTTACAGCATACCCGCACCACACAAAAACGTTTACCATCAATGTAAGCAAGGCCGAAGTAGAAATGCTCCACAAGGTTGAAGTGAGCCACAATCATGTCAAAGACGTCTCCTCCTCTGGATTTCACCTCGCACCTGACAAGGATGCTCTGGCCATTCGGCATTACAACACTCAGCTCTCTTTGAGTGGTAGGAGATTTCCCTTTCTTTGACTGCAAAAATAGAAGTTTGAGAATATCAGATTTTTATCTGTCTAATTAATCTAAGAGGACTGACGGGTCAATTTTGGTTGTAGATGAACAAAATAGATTATGAAAGATATAATTTTTTAAATTATAATATTTAAAATATTCACTCTGCAAAATATTACTCTTCAGAATTCTATAATGGATATTTTGAAACTAAACTGATTAATATTCCATTCAACCAGAGACCAATGCAACTGAGGAAAGCACATCAAAACTGTGCTTGAGTAAACACATTTAGCAGTATTCTAGTATTGTGTGTCCTTGAAAGAAAATCTCCTAAAATATCAGGACTGTACTCACCACAATGGATCCAGGAAGTTCCAAGACAACCAGTGGCTCATCCAGCACTCTAATAAACTCAGGACCCATGTCCTGCAACACAGGAAAATGGAGAGGAAAATATAGTGTCCGCCAAATTTGTTGGTCTAGTGATTTCAAAACAATTTAAATCCAATATTTCACATCTCTGCCACTTTACAGATTTCTGATGTGAAAAGTGACACTTCAGAAGCCTTCATACATAATTTTGTGTTGGATCTTTGGTTTACAAAGTGTGTTTAGAAGTATTTAAACCTTTTATTTAACTAAAAGTTATAATCATTAAGTAGCTCAATAGTGCACAAGCTGCATAATCAAGATATATTTAAAGCACCTTAAGTAAGAATACTCATTACATAGAATGGCACTTTTCAGAAACATATACATATTACTGGATCATAAGTATTAATCCATTGTTGCTTGTATATCTCTTTAATGTTCTACGTGTTCATCATTCTTATTATTTGTATTTGGTTTTGTGGTTTATCTATAATAATGTAATTCAGCTGTAAAATAATAAGTACACTTTAAGGTAAAGGGTACAAAGCATGACATTTGTAATGAAAACGTAAAAGCAGAAATTGGCACAACAAATACAAAATACAAGTATAAATACAAATGTATTAAATTTAAACTTTATTAAAGTAGCTGGGACATGGGGGAACTATGGTACCTTGTAGATATGCCACTGGAGGGTTGTGAAACTGACAATTTTACTGTGTGATTGTGGTACACACAGGAAGTGGTGTCCTACTCAATTCGTTAAGGGAAAAAAGTCTGGATGGCGGCATATGTTGCTCCAAATCCTTATCCCTGTAACCCTTGTTCCTTCTCTAACCTATGCTAACAGAATATCCCATATTATTTTAAATTTTTTACTTTTGAAGACTGTTTTCTTGAGTCTTCAATCAGTGAACAAAAGAAACAAACATTATAGCTAAAACTGAAAAATGTTCTCATTGTTGAGAATTTTGCCTACTTTGTCTTTCACAGACTGGTGAACCCTTCACTGTCAGCTTCGAAAGGACCTTGTTTATCTTGGGTGCTTCTTTAAGGTCAGTTATGTTTCTGATTCTGATCAATCTAACAGTCAAAACCTGTTTAAGTCTGAAATCCATTTAAAAAGACCATATTTCTCAATGTGTTGTAGTAATAACTAAATATATAGATGATTCACAAATTACATACATTATCACAATGATTTTGGGAAACATTATACTATACTATAATATAATGTCACAAATGCACTCACCTTTACTTTCTTATCATTCAGACTCATTGAGGAGTCAAACTGTGTGAGGGATCTTGAGTTGGCATTTCGATTACCATCCATATAAGGACTACCGGGGCTGCGGTTCAGCTGCTGCCAGCTGCCGTACCTCTCTATTTGCCGGCCTCCCAAGGGAATCCTGGGGAAAATTAGATTTCCATTCTCAGTCTGATGGCAGGTGAGATCCGTCACTCATGAGATGATAGCTTGTGCACACAGGAGTAACATTTTGATGGAACTAGCTTTGTTAAACACTCCTTTGGGATTTGACAACTCTGTATGGTTTCTATGTCTTTTTTAGTTATTTTACCACACCTTATTTAAGCAAATACATTTAACTGAACATGCCCACCCGTGACGCAAACAAAATAGGATTTAAAATGTGGCAGAAAGCTGTTATAAGATGTGTAAAACACATTTCATACCCTGTGGCATTAGCTGAATAAGATACCCCCGAGAATGTTCCGGACATCTTCTTCTTCAGCGACCATGTCGAGTTACTAAAAGAGCTCCCTGAAAAATAAACATGTATGTCACATAAAAGCTGAATATTATTTTTAAAATATGCTTCTTAGCTTTCTTGCAGGGTAAAGACTGATACCACTCATGTCTAACATGTAGTTAGCTTAGCATATTAGCTTAGCCTGGAAGCAGGGACAAGCTCTGTCCACGGATGATGAGACTTCTGTGGCTCATTAATGAACACATTTTATATCAAAATCTATACTTTATCTATACTTTAAAAAAATATCAACTTTTGTGGGTTTTAAAGAATAATGTAGTTAGATTTACTGAACAAATTAGGTTTTCTTCAGTTGAGTCCTTTGTGTTGTTTCAGTGAAAAACTGCACCCGCAATCCTCACAAGGACCAGCAGAAGAGAATGGATGCATGGATGGAGGTTATGTAAAGGTTAGACTGTGTTATACTCAAGAAACTTGTGACCCACCTGTGCAGGCTTGCTCTTATTTATTTTTATCTCTTTATACTATTTTAATTTGGTGTATACTTACTTCTGTACTGTAAAGCACTTTGTGAATTCTGCTCTTAAAAAGCACTATATAAATAAACCTTACTTACTCTAAAATGCTAAACTGATTTACTGAAAAGCCATTGAGTTAACCAGCCACAGTATTCTGCTGAAATAACACAAATGACTCAAGTAAATTTATACTGTTGCTTGGGAGTTACTTAACACAGTTATGTGTCTCTAGGACAGTAGGAAAGGGGATTTCCTTCAGGGGGCCCCGAAGGAACAACATAACTTTCTCTCTTTTGTTTAATTTAATATTTAGCATAAGTTAACTCAGCAAGCAGAGCAGTGCACACAGTCAGGAGTCAAAATTGGGACGCTGGCACTTGACAGCTAGCAAGCTGAAAGAACGTAGAATGACACAAATCAGTGAGAAATGACAAAACTCTTAGGCTGTGTCCCAATTCAGGGTCTGCACGCGTACTATAAGTACAAGAAGTGCGGAAGTGAGAGGCTTGTGAAATGGGACGGTCTACCCGCGCTGTTCAGGTTGCCTAGCAACCATGATACTAACCGCAAGAAATGTTTCATACAGCTTTGTGTGACAGAAATGAAGGAGAAAAATGTTTTGTTGGTCATTCATTTTTGTCATGACATCACTTTGATTAGTTGAGTATCTGAGGCTGAGACCACGGGACTGTAAAACATGATTGTTGGGCTTCATTCCTGTACTGAACAGTCATTTCAAGATTAGTTAGTAAATAACAATTAGTTAATGTTGTTCATGAGACTAAAATCATCTCACTGTGGTAACATAAATATAATATGGACAATATTATATGTATTGTCCGATTATTATGATATATATATTTGTAGAGGCTTTAAAACCAAGTTAACACTGAAAGTACAAACATCAGTAATGTAACATAACTTTGCCGACATGTGGCCAACAGCAATGTTTTAATGTTCTTCGTTATTAAACATTTGCACATAAATAAGTAGCATCCTATTCAGTACTTACTTTTAACAGTTCACTCTTTGCCCGCTCCCTCCTGCCGTATTTTGCGGCAAAATTATCCACACCCAACGCCACGCTATGAATTGTGGGATATATGGGACCACGAAGCGTGAACCGGACCATGCTTGATATTTGGGGAAATATTTGGAGTATGCATTTGAAGTACACTTCGAATTGGGACAGCCGTTGTCGCGTGGCGGTGACGTAATCGCACTTAAAATGCGTACTTCAAGCGTGCAGACTCTGAATTGGGACACAGCCTTCGTGTACCACGGAAAATGTTAGAGAAAAGTGGGACAGACCATAAAACATGACTCATCTGAAGAGTACCTGTCCTATCAGTGCCACTAGAGGAGTATTGGTTCAGCACCAATCAGCACTATAGTTAGGACTGACATCAATCTCATGCTATTGTAAAGCATTGTTAGGTAGTGTACTTTGACCAGACCTTTGACAATCAACATTAAACTCTTTTTTTCCTCTTCAGACAAAGTGATAACTGATGAAAGACCTGCTTTCCCCCTATTAGGTGGACCTCAACTAGATCTACACTTTCACTAATGAGCACTAATGAACTATACCTGCTGATTGCAGCAGCTTTACATTTAATATACAGACAAGTGCTATTGTTTTTCTAATGCTTTAAGCTAATAAGACTTTTCAGAAACATTACATTTGACAATTAGAAGCACTTTCTTACTGTGTAATCTGTCCCGGACCACTTGACTGCGGTCTGTTAGCTGGGATCCATTATCAGCCATAGAGACGTGATCAGCCTGTAAAGAAATCATTGTCAAACTCAAGGAAACAGAGTTATCACAAAAATCAAAACCAGACATGATCTCAGCTAACCGGCGGAGCTTCAACCTAACCACTTAACCACTACTCACCGAGTTTCTGTAAACATCCTCCACCAGCTGCCTAATGAGACGCTCTGCAGGAGGAAGCATTGAAGCCTTGTGGTGTAGCTCACAGGTTTCCAGCACCGTTAGCAGGTCCGTCCTTCTCAACATCATGTCCTCGCACATGCTCAGTAGCAAACCTTCCAGCTCAGCACTTATTTGGACTGGCTGTGGAGAAAAATACAGAAGAAAAGCTAAATGAATGGCACGCAAGTGCTAAGAATAAAGAAGAATGAGATTACGGGAAGATATAAGAGGAGGAGTACCTGGTTGTGAGGTAGGTGATAGTCAACACACCAATAAAGAGTCATCCCCAGTGAGTATACAACCATCTGAAGAGTAGATACACACCAAATACATGACTACTAAATAAGTTAACGTGAGATTTCATTGTTATCTACAATTTAGAGATTATTTTTTTTAATCCTCTGAGGTATCATCCATGATTTCCAATTATGGTTTTTCTTTTGGTCAGTGCAAGATTTTCCAAATTTAGTCAGCTGCATATTTAGCAAATTGGCCACAGCTGTGCTTGTGGAACATCTGTTTTTCGGACCAAGCACGCACTGCAATATAAAAGACCTCAAAGCAACAACAACACACCTTTTCGACTGCAGTCCTCGAGGAGGCGGTGTGACCCTGCTGGACTTCAGGGGCTGTGAAGGAGGCCACGTCTTCATTTCGAGCACAGCTTTTGAAGGCCAGACTCCCGTTGGCTGAGAGCAGCACTGAGCCTGGGCTCAGCACGCTGCACATGTTGCCTGAACCTAAACGGAGAGCACACCACAAGCTTGTCACCAGCTCGAGAGATTTGATAAAAAGAGATTTCTTTGAATAAGAGCATGCTTTCAGCCACAGTGTGTTTGTTATTGAACATTACTTTTGGACTAGAGAAAGAATATCAGAGATACTAAATGTAACTTTCAGATCTGAAAAGGGGGTCAATGAGAAGGTGACTTCTTTGGGTTCATGGGGAAAGGGTCCTCAGTTTAAAACATCAATAAACTTTCATATATGGAAGCATTTACAGTCTTGGTTGCTAGTTTCAGGTCCTAATAATTACAACATGATTTTCATTTTGTACATTATGAGCTCCCTTAGCATCAAAAGAAAGAAAAAGTAGGATGCATACAGCTGCCTTACCTCCTAACTGACAAATAGTTAGTCTATGACTATGAGTTGTCCCCTGGTTACTTTGTAATCATCTACATCGACCGTTTCACATCGAAAACACCATGGCAAACGTGAAAGGTTTCAAAATGGGACCTCATACACTAATGAGTACAGTGGCTATATCCATCTTTATTGTACAGTCTATGTTTTAAATCAAGCCCTGTCCTTAAACAGTTGTGAATTTGGGAAGGTGATGAAGGAAGGTTACCTTTTTTGGAGATTTCGAGTAAGGCATCAGTGGTGGCAAGAAGCAGACACCAGACCTCATCCTCATCCAGCGGTGAGCCCCGGGCCTCCAAAACCTCTGCCAGGGTTACAAACGTACCCATACTTCTGGGATACACAAGCAAAAGAGACAAACCCAAAGCACCCCATTACCAAATTTTTATTTTATTGCAAGAGAATAAGGCTCTTTGTTTCCTTATGTTACAACGTAAAAGTTCAGATGTTCATCTACACTACATTTTGTGAAATAGACTCATTTTAGATGAAATACTCAATCAAATGCCATAGAAGCTTTCTGAAAGTTGATTTTTCCTTTTTTGTGTCATTAGAATTATATTTAAATGAAAGCTCTTGTGACAAGCGCTTAGCGTATTTTCTTAACAAATCATACTGATATGCACGTCTGAAGATTAAATGAAAGATAAGGAAACAGAAAACGTTAGATCTTGTAAGTGTATTTTTGAATCAGTTTCTTTATCAGTGCTAACTAAGAGCTTGCTGAGCTAAGCGTGGTGATCAGCACATTTAAAGCACTTATGTGCGTAGGTTAAAGGATTTCTGAAGTGCTAAATTACCTTGAGAAGCTTCCAGTAAGTGAAAACATCCGGTGTACTGAGCAGGAACATGAAACACGGCTTATTGCTCATCACTATTATCAATTTCCAATCCTATAAATTTAATATATGTATTTTAAACAATACATACTTAATACAGTTCAGGAAGATATGCAGGATGGGTCACAACTGAACACATTAAAATGCAATAATCCTTGATTTTTACCTGCTTATATTTACTTTAACATTGGCTTTAAAGTTCCTAAATGTTAGAAAATCATATAAAATACATTTTGAGAAAGTGGGATTTCTTAAAGGAAAAAATTGGCATTACTAGAAGAAGTGCTAGAAAGGCTTTCTCTCCGTTAACAGCCAGAAAAAAGGCAAAGCTTTTGTTCTTGGACTCGATCAGAACAGCCCTGCATGACTCACTGTTGAAAAAAAAGGCATCTTATGCTGGGTATTACTTTAGCCCCTCAGTCTTTTTATCTCCTCTCACTTTAAGACCGCCCATCCTAAAAGGCCATCTTCTTCTGATTGGCTGCCTGTCAGGAGGGTGGGGCTCTCAGCATCTCTCACTTAGAGCTGGGCGATATATCGAGTTTTTAAAAAATATCGATATATTTTTATACGAGATATAAGATGTGACAATATCCTTTATATCGATATAGTATAAGTTACGTTATAATTATACTTGTGGAGCCGCAAATTTGCCTCTCTTTCGTCCACTTTCGTCTTTACGCAACGTTACTCGGCCTCGCCTCTCCTTCACTGAACACAACTCCCCCTCCTCCCCCATTGCTTCACCTGCAGGAAGCGACAAGATGGACACGGCAAATCTCCGTTAACGAGTTACTGCGCATCGCCCCGTGCGTGGGGCTGGACGGTGTCAATGTGTTAGCTAGCTAACCACGCTAACGAGCTAACCACGCTAACGCCATGCAGCCCAGAGGTGCTGCACGGCCTAAAATCCTTTCATTTTCTCAAAAGTTGACAGCGCGCCTTATGTATGAATTCTGGTTGTGCTTGATGGCCGCGAACCGATTTTATGTGGAACACGGCGCTCAGCAATCTGTCAAAAATGTTTTAGTACGACTTTGGTAAGCTACGGAGCTGCACCGCTTGATGGATTGTCGGAGCATTACGGCTGAGCCTCGCAGAGTGATACGTACTGTGCTTCAACGTAGTATTACCCTACTGTGTATAAGGACCATAAATGGCACCTGTTAAGAGACGTGGTTGCGAAGCGGATTACAAACTCAATGCTGTCAGTCACGCAGTACAAGTTGGGAACAGAGCAGCTGTGAAATCTGTCTTTGTTATTGTGCTCAGCGTCTTTTGGTTTACATTTTGACTGCACAATTGTGAGCTTTTTGTTATGCACAAAAACAACATTGTTTTCTTTTATTTATGGAGCATGATTATTTAATAAATGCTCATAATTTATTTTTGAGTAAATTTTATGTACATCTGCTCTATGTTAATAAAAGTGCCAGTGTGAGATCTGGGACACAGCTTTGACTAAGAACTCTCTTTTTGTTCTTACTTTATGGCTTTAAAAAAATATATCGAGATATATATCTTATATCGCCATCCAGCTAAAAAATATCGGGATATGAATTTTGGGTCATATCGCCCAGCCCTACTCTCACTGACATCACACAGACTCCAGAGCAGAAAAAAACTGTCTGAACTTGAACCTTTAGTGCTGTCTGAAGCCTGAGTTTATGGCTTACAGGGATTACTTGTACATTCTGTAACGTCATTATTTGAAACTTTGGCTATTGTAACAGTACGCCATATGTATATGACAGAATTTAAGGGAAAGCACAAAACTGATTATACACAATTTTTTTTTTTTTACAAAAAACTTATCATCATCAGCAACAACAAACCTGTCAACAAACTTTGTAGCAAATAACAAGACGAAGGAGAAAACTAAGTTACTATTTCATTATAGTACAGGGAATATAACAAGCTGTAATGTAACCAGATTAACAACCTAAGACATTTACACAACATTAATAACTTATAAGGTTTCCTGCTTTGTTGCCACTGCAGTATAATAAAGGAATAAAAGCGGAGGCATGGAAAGTTGTCGAGGCTTTATATATTGTTTTCACGCTGGTGTCTTTAATTTACTATATTTATTCATTCAGTTTATTTTTAGGTTGTGCTGGTGGCAGGTTCTTTGGCTGGACAGAACTAAAGTTTGGCATACAGTTTATTCCATGACCTTCCTGACACACGAACAGCATTAAAACAGTGACAGAAAGCAGACAAGCTTACTGTGCCGAGCCTGGCAACATGATCGATTGCCAAGTAACCCAAGCTCTGTTAATCAGGTTACGTGTGCTTTGATTTAATTCAAGATGACCTAGGGTCAAGCGTCTGTGTGGAAACAATTAGTGTGGCCCTTTCTTACAACATGTCTATTAAAGCCAGGGCGGTATCCCAGTCATCCACCGTGCACAATACCAGTAACAACTGGAGAACTGAAGAAGCTTAATGGAATGCAACGAAAATGCCTTTCATTTTTCCTGCAAGTCATGTCAAAAAAATTCAGAGCTGAACACGGCTTATTGTTCATCGCCACTGTCATTTTCCATCCCTATTCTCGAGATAAGGCAATGCTGAGTTTCAAACGATCATCTGGGCAGCTCTTAAGGCCCTTTGCAGACACGATTCCAATAAGTTTGGGCTGTAAAAGGAAATAAATGATGCAGGACTTTTATTGTACATTGCTTCTTTACTGCAAATTAAGCACTTTTTTTTTAGCATGCTGTTCTCTCCCTGCTGACCACTGCGAAGCCATGCCCAGGTAAAGTATTTGTCAGGCAGCCACTGCCTCACACTTGACCTTTTGGAAGTCAAGGGTGGGTGTTGCTTAGTGATCATGTATAGGCGTGATTGGGGATCAAGCTGTCGGTCCTCAAGTGTATACATGACATAACTGAAATTCTTGCTTTCTACAGTGAATGGTGCACTTTTTCAGATTTATGTAGAACTAACGTGTTTATTTCTATAATGTCGGTTTTTCTGTTTATTTCTTCAAAGATTTACTTAACCAAACTAGCTTACTCCATTGGGGTGGCTGTAGCTGAGGAGGTAGAGCACTAATCAGAGGGTTGTGGGTTTGCATGCCAAATATTCTCGGGCAAGATACTAACCTCAAGTTGCTTTCAGATGCATCAATCAGAGTATGAATGTTAGATGTTAGTGCTCTGAGTGCTCCGGAAGAGTATTGTAGAAAAGCGCTTTATAAGACTTTACCATTATGTAGCACTTCTGTTATTCAGCTTCTTCCAACATGTTTGCAAACCTATACTTTCAAAGTAGTTTTACCCAACACTGAAAATGCCTTCAATGAAAAGCCCTCTTTTTTAAAGATGTTTTATTGGCATGCAGACACATTCGTTGACACAAATAAGGCAAAGTACATCAGTTGATTTAAAAATCACAGCTCCAAATAAAAACTCCTGCAGAGAAAGTAAGTCACTGCATTGCTGACATAAATGACAAAAGTCACAGTCTTTCTCTTCACACAGAGCACATGATGAATGACTTCAGTTGCTCTGTGTCACTTACACACAAACAGATAAAAATGAAGGCGGCTCAGTAAAATACTCCTGTTTTTCTTATTAATAAGCTGTACCTCACTCACTGTGTGTGGGATTGAAATGGGTGTTTTCTGCCTTCCTCAACCGCTCCCTGTTCTGCAAACTTACCAGCACTGTTCTAGAATAAAAAGTGAGTAGCTATAGCAGCTGACACGAAGGATAAAGTACAAAACATGCTGACTTTTGGTGACAAACTGTGTGACTGTACGCAAACACACACTTTTACACTTTGTCGGATGAGCGCTGCTCAGGCTATAAACGATAAAATCTGCATTCCACGCATTATGGAGCCTACCTTATTTCATCCAGTATCTGGAGAGATTCTTCTTAAGTTCCTTTCTCTGAACCTAATCCTTCCTCCTCTTATTCATCCCTTGCTGCCGTTCCACCCACCTCTCCCTCATCCCGGCGCTCCCGTCTGGCAGCTCGTGACACCCCAGTCATCTCCTCATCACAAGAAAAAGAACCCATAGCACAAATTTCCCCTGTGCTCGCATCTAATGACGTGGCCCTCTGCGTTTTCCCTTATTTTCTACTATTTTTAGACCGGGGAAACTAAGAACATAATTGGATTTGCAGGGCAAGCTAACAACAGATGGGGCAGCAAAGCACCAATCCATTGTAGGCAGCACTGTGTTAATCTGATGCTTCAACTACTAGTGACACATTAGGTTAAAGCAGGAATAACCACAGTGTCTTCATGCAGCTACTGACAGCTTCATGTGACTTCTCTAAAAGTGATTTTCTGAAACTTGGATTTATGCATCTGTGGACAGGCAAGCATTATGTTTCATTGGGCCCAGGTTCTTTTGTTTAAAGTATGCTGACAATCTACATCATTAGTAGTGAGCTTACTCAATGGGAGACTGCCTCTCCAACACCAAATCTGTGTAGGGTGCTGAATAAAATGTCGTATGTATTTTACTTATACATAATTTAATTATATGTATGGGATATATGTTGATTTTGAGGCCTTGATAAGTCAAAATGTTACAAAGTATGATGCTATGGACCAACTTTTGTACTTGTAATGAAAGGTTTTTATCTAGAAAAGTAAAGCAAAGGCTACACCTCATAAAAGTAGTCTATAAATACCTTTAAATTGTCATTCAGGACAAAATTATTTTCATTTGCCGCTTTAACATGTATAAGTTTAACTGGAATAGTTATTTTTTATGTGAACCTGTCTTACATTTGCTTGATAGCTAGGTGTAGAAAACAGCTATAAAACTGATAATACTTTGTTAGCGCTATTTTAAATGTTACTCGTCACTTTTGTATAACGTTTTCAGTAGAAGATGAGTAGTTGTACCTTTCAGGTTTTTAAATAACCCTTTAGCAAGTAGTTAACATCCACCCATTCCCATTGAACGCGACATCATTCCAAAACGTTGCAAAACCGTCGCTTCCGCTTTGCAGACGTTGCCGCCGGGAACGCGCAGGCGGTTTTGAACGCCCCCTGGTTCTCATTGTGCAGCCGAGGAAACATCGGAAGGTTTCGACGACGTTGGTATGAAATGGCAGAAACTGCCTGGGTCGCGGAAGCACTGAGACTAGGTTGCGTAGAAGCTACACATGTATCTTGCGGTGTTCCCAGCCTGCTAGTGTGACGAAACGGGAGTGTAACCGGAGGGAAGAAAGGGATTAAAGCGCTGTTTTCCTCCTAAACACCGTCCAGCTTGTGTCTCCGGCAGCAGGCAGCGAGTGGCGACTGCGGGGTCGACACTGTTGGAATTAACCAGAGAGGGGTGAGCTCGACATATGGATTTTTTTTTCTCCCACTGAGACATGTTTGACGTGTTATTGTCAACTGCTGGGAGGGGAACGGACAAATGTGGGTCACACACGTTACTCTAAATAGGTGTCACCATAACGTATAGGGTGACCAGCACCACAGCAGGCAGGACAGGTCTGGCCTAAATGGTACAAGGCAACCAGAGTGAGCGGCTACACTGGGAAGTATACCTATCCATGTCATTAGCACAGCTTACACCGCCAAGCGTGAACCGGGTGGTGTTTGCCACTCGTGAAATCCTCAAGGAAACCGCTATGACCTCCAGCTTGTGCTCACCTACATCCCCAGTGTAAACAGAAATCACTTATTAACGCCTTTGAATACACCCTGTTTTTATTCAGCACCGGTTTTCTGCTTTTCTTATGTTTTGTGTTTGGCAGCATAGCTGTACAGCTTGTAACATCACAGAGGTATATAAGTATCAGGCTCAGACTGCAGTCTTTGTGCTTGTGTGTGTTTTTAATGTGAGGATTTAACCTGCAGATTGACAAATGTACTCCTTTTTTTGCCAGTTGCATCAGTGTGAGAGCATTTCTTAGCTCCTGTCTTTATTATAAACAGGGATGAGATCAGAGGATTGTGTGTTTCTTATCTAACACACGAGATTATTGGCTGTATTAAGAATTTTATTATATGGCCAAAGTTGGGTTAGGCAGAAATCACCCCAGGTTGCAGCTTGTGCACTCACTATGTGCATCTTGGTTACACTGAAGTGCTTCTGTCGTCATATTTGGGCGATGCAGCTCTCACAGTGCACTGCACATTGCTAGCGGGGCTTTTGGGAACAACCTGCCAAGAGGACAGGGATGGTCAGGCCAAAAGATCCAAGAAATCTGATTCCTGCACCAAAAGCAAAAGGTAGCCTGCAGAGCCAGGATTATGAATCCACATCGAGCCCACTCTGACATCTTGATACTGAAATGTCCGAGGGATTATAAGCCTCTTAACTTGTGAATTTTACCATGGTTTCAGCTGATTTGTGTTGTCTTTTTGTGACAACTGTTTGTATCTAGACACCCATCAGCAGGCCATTTTATTAGTAGACACAAGTGTGTAGCATCATTTTTTTTGGAGAGTGGAGTCATTGTTTGACATAAAACCAGTCGTCACGGTAGCGATGCAGTGCTCGTCCTGCTTTAATTCTTCTGCTGGGACCAGCCCTAACACAAATACAACAATTAACCCAGCACGTCACAGTTCAAACAGTCACAGCTGAGAGCAGAGACGGTTGTGCCTCTCTGCACTTTTAGATTATGGACACAAAAGGTTGGTCCATATTGCTTTGTTTTTGCCTACAGAGGCCCTAATATCATATACATTAACCTAAATAAATTAAGCTTCTTAAAAGAAGGGCCCAGAATTTCTGAGCAGGAAACGGAAACAATCATTTTTTTGTATATTATGAATTGTGACACATCCTCTTCGTTATCTGCAACATTTTACACACTGCTCCGGTCGTCTTTGTTGTTTTCAGACGTCGTCTGTGATTTGACATCGCTGTCACAGTGTTTGCTACTACAGTATTAAATAGTAATGTTAGACTGTTATCAGTTATGTTTACATACTTGGGTTGTTGGCGTGTAGTCTCATATAATGCATTTATTTACTGTAAACAGCATGCTGATAAGACACTTAAGCGGAGCCAGTTTAAAAATGCTAAACTAGCCGACAGGGTGGGGGGAAAATCCAGTCTGTCAGCAGCTTATCCAGCTGCCTGGTTCGGTACCTGTAGATTGTCACCATTCTAAAATTTTCCTCATCATCCATGAGCTGAACTTCTTATATGTTGGCGACAACTATGATGACGCTACCTGCAGGTCCTAATTGAAATAGGCTTTCAGGCTGTCAAACAGTGCACTCTTCAGTTTGTAGGAATATTTTGTGTTTGACCAGGCGTTTCCTCAGATTAGATGTATTGCCTTGTATTGAATTTTGAGCTACAAATAATGCAGAAAGCACTATTTTGAAAATGGAATCACACCTGAGACTGCTTTCTGCTTTCCACTGCCTCCTTTTTGGCGCATGTTGTTCTTCTACATGTCGCAGAGGTGGCATCGGATGCTTTGGGTCCCTTTGTTGTTCTAACCCAGTTTTTTTAAATTAATTAATTAATTTTAAAGTCGAGCCTTATGTTGTCTCACACATTAAAAGAATAATTCCCAGTGTCATCCTCAGAGTGAAGATTACAGCTTATTAACTCTGGTATCAGATTACTATTTGATACTGGCAGATACCTAAAGCCAAGGTATTGGTATCCTATCAGGACTGGAAAAAGCTGAATGAGCAGATCCCCAGTCTGGAGCCTAGGGGATGGGTCTATTTACTGGTATTATAGCATGTGCCCCTCTGCTTTATAGATAGGTTAAGCTTTTCTTGTGGTGTGTTTCCTGTCTGCTACCATGAGGCATGTGATACTCACACAAATTAAGTGCCTGTTTTTTGTTGTTGTTGTTGTTGTTGTTGTTTTTCTTTTTTAAAATTTAGGTTTTTCTTATTCAGAGTATTGTCAATTACTTGATCAGCAGTTTGTCAGACAGCTTGAAATCTAGGCCAAGATTACAGGAAGTTTAACAATAAACCCCCCGTGGTTTGTGTCTGCAGATGGCCATGAGAGAAGTGTCATTCAGGGCCTTCATTGGTACCAGAATTTGGCACTGAATAAGGCCTTGTGAGCTCTTATCAGCAGCAGCTACTTTGGCTGAGTGCGAGTGCTTTGAAGATAAAAAGCGATACTGCTGGTGGAATCGACTGTGGTCACCCAGATAACTTGGAACTGTTTGATATTTGCAAGAATTTCACGTTTATGGTTTTTCTTTTCTGGGTGAAACGGAACAAAGGTAGACAAGATGGGAAAAGAAGGATCAGCTCCCAGCAGTGACAGCGTGATGGACAGCTGTGTGGGAGAATATCTGGACAGGAGCGGCAGTTCAGAAGCCATATCTGCTACTTTTTGACACAGTTATCTGTTTAGTTCTGTCTGGCTGTCAGAGACCTTATTTGCCCACCACCAGTGTGTCAGTGGATGGCAGTAGCTGTGCCACATGTGCTTAATTTGAATTCTGATACAGCTGCAACTTTCATGTGCCACATGTGTTTATAAAAGCAGGTTGATGGGTTTAAAAATACTGTAGTGCTGTAGTATAGTCATTTATTTTCAGATTAGCATGTACAAACGAATCCTAATTGATAACTGAGCCAGCTGTCAAAAAACCTGCGCCACTGCTATGGCAATTTTTCTTTAAGAAATGTCTTAAACCTTAGTTCTACTGAGCTGCTTCAGTGTGTTTTCACATGTGTAAAAACATTTATCATTAAGAGCAGGATAATAACATACATTAGCTAATTAAATGGTTGGAGCTGGTGTCTTAAGAAAACATCCCTGATGCTTGGGCCTGGCAGAGCGTTCAAAAGCCAGCCTGGCTGTGGTGAGAGCAGCTTACACTCGGAGTCCTGCTTGGTTTTCATCTGGAAAACTGCAGAATCTTACCTGTGCAGACTAAATAATTAATAAGCTAGTTTAACAGCTTCTTGCACAGTTAAGTATTTCCTGATTCATGTTGAGACAGAAATGATTGCTTCTTTTTTTCCCATTCAGTTATATGTAGATCTTGGCCCGTCTTACCTTTGTGGTCGTCTAGGTTTGTGCTGTTGTGATTATAATTTCTTATTCAAGTGGTTCAAATCTACCTGTGTAGGTTGACTTGATTTGCAGCTCCACAATTCCTTTACATAGATTATTTTATTTTCATGCAGGCTTCCACACATGCTCGATTTGCTGCTTTCTAACAACTGAGGTTGATGGGGCTGATAGCTTGATACACTCCATCAGATTGCTGAGTTCCATCTTAAAAGGAAGCTGGGGATTTACCTGTCTCACAGGGATCCTGAAAACCTTTGCACTGCTCTTCCTTCACATAGGAGAAATGATCATGTACCATTTGTTTAGACATACTCTTTGCAGCGCTGGGATAGAGCTACACATACTAAGTAAAACAGAGCTTGAATACGCCCTCTCCCTCCTGTGTGGCCTATATTTGATATGCTAAATGACTTTTTCTGAAAAGCGTGTCCAGGAGTGTTTTGCATGGTATTTCTGGTCTGTGCGCAGAAGGATACCTCTGGCAAATAAAGCTGACATTTTTGCTTTGTGGTGGATGCGGCTAAATGTTGTACATGAAAGAAGCTGAGCTCATTTGGATTGAACGGGGAACTGAATATGAAAGCGACGTGGAGGCCTCAGAGTATTCGCTGTCAAAGTTACGCTAGACATAATTGTTCTAGTAAATTCTTGCATAGTTGCTATAGTAGTCTAATTAAATGATTGAAAACTGAATCCTTAAAACCATTGCTGTTTCATACTTAACTTCATTTAAGAGCTGTTTTGAAGAAACATACTGATGACAATTTCTTTTCCTTTGATTCAACAAAAGCTGGTCAGCTGGCAGTTTTACTGTCGCCTTGGTAGTCGGCAGCATGCAAAGTGAGAAAAATTAAATATCTTCATAGGTCCATCTAGCTGAACTGGATAATTTAAATTATTAAAACAAACTAGTGGGGCTTTACACAGTGAGACCTGACCTGAGCATTATGATGATGATGATGATGATGATGATGATGATGATGATGATGAGGTAGCCTTTATTTGTCAGTTGCAGTTGCTCACAACCGAGATGACAGACCTTGCCAACCGTACATACAATACACAAACATCACATTGGGGAGACAGGTCAGGCCAGGTAGCAAGGGGGGGAAAAAACATCGAAATGTGTTACACAAAAGGATAATACAGGAATGCACAGATATCAACACTAGGGATGGGTATTGATAAGAATTTCATGATTCCGATTCCATTTTTGATTCTGTTTAACGATTCGATTCTTTAACGATTCTCTTATCGATTCTTTTTTTTAAAAAAAAAGGAGAACACTAAGGTTGATTAGCTTAGAACTTTTG